ATCTGTATTCAGAATATTCGCTGTGATTGGTCCTTGTGATTACTTCCAACGAGTGTCGTACAACGGTTTAAAACATCAGAACAGAACACAGCCGATGCGTTGCTACTCGTAACATAAATGGCGTTTGGTAAAAGCTTAAATCCTTGCGAAAATGCTTGTCATTATTCTTTTGTAGTAATAGTCCATCAAAATTATGCAGCGTCTTTGGTTGCAATTCGCGTGACTACGCCGTCTGGCAGCGAACTGCATTGAAGTTCCTCTTCTGAAATACCATATATCTATAAAACAAAAAGAAATGAATAAATATCATTATTTCTAAACCCTGAAAAATTACCGCCGAATTTGAAATCAAGATGTACTTATCCTGTTTAAGTCTAAAAAAATTGATTTCATACGGTATTTTTTAAACAGCTATCAAAAATAACAAAAAAATACCAAGAAAGGTTTCTTTAACTTAATTATTGTCAACCTTTCTGCCACCATTTTGATGACAAAGACATCTGTTATTCATTATATCAAAAACTAAATTATGCACTCATTTTCACTGGTTCTTACTTATTATCTATTGGGGGACAGAAACATTGGTAACTTCACCATTCACAACATTTTACTTTCTCATCATATATAAAAAAAAACAAAACAAATAGATTTCATCTTGCCATGGGTCTTTACAGTAATAGGTCACAGATGATGTCAATGTGTGTTAACTCCTAGACGTGATCAACATGTAACTTCTCCCGATAATATCCCATACATTATCCAGCAAACAGGTAATGAGAATACTCAGACTTATCAGGTTGAAGTTTTAATCCTGATCTAGAACCAAGTTCTCATAATTAGTTTCAAAAAAAATTGTAGCAGTTACAGGGGAGAATTAACAATCAGATCTTAGGATTTGAAGGTCTAAGAACATCAGGGACACTCCTCTGTGCCTTATGTGCCACTTTTTTGCTCTTACCACATTGTGATGTCATCTGTGCACATACATGGCTACAAGGAATCTATTTGTCAATTTCTTCACTTATCTTTTAATGAGAAAAAACTCAACTAGTTAATTTCTCCAGATTATTCCTTTTGGGTAATCACCTCTGAAACAAGTACAGTATATCTTATAATGAACTACGTCACTTACCTTCTTTATTTTTTCTTGGTCAGAAATTGTACTCAGAGCAGTTAGAGACACTTGTTCCCCATCTATGAATTTGCCAACTTCTGAAATCTGAAAAATAAAACACTGAAACTTGCAGAAGGGTCTTTTTTTTTTTTCAGGGTGGGGAGGGGGTAATCATTCAGCTTTACTGTTTTAGATCGCCCTTAATAAAAACTGATGTTGCAGTAAAGATGCCATTAAGCTGTAAAATGTTACAAAGTTTCCTTAACTAAAAACAAGTATGAGACACCTAGTATAAAACTCGTGCTAACCTTTTCTTTGGCATTTTTCTGGGTCATAATGACAACTAACACACTTGATGTATTGTCCAGTATTCCAAATTTCTTGAAAGATTCATTGATCTAAAAATAATGATATCATGCTTTTCACATAAATTTGATTCATAATCCACTCTTTTCAATAACATGCTCATAACGATAATAAATACATTCAACTTATTCTCTACCATCTTTAATATTAAAGCACTGTTTCCAAGCATGTCAGGATTCCCAAACAGTTTATTTGTATCCCCATGTAGAGGAAGAAAACGAGGGGGGGGGGGGTTCCTGATCATGTTTTGTGCATAAATTGTTTTGAAAAATTCATGCATCAGAGAGGGGGGCATTGGGGCCTCTGGGAAACTGCAAAACTGGAGAAAAAAAACCTCCAAAACCGAAAAACAGACAAAAAAAGGCAGCAAAACCGAAAACCGCATGCAAACCTGACAAAACCGCTACATTTTCACCTTAAAGGGGTCAGAAAGGGAAAACCGAAAACCGCATCAGAGTTCTCGTGAAAACCAAAAACCGAATGCAAAAACACATAAAATCCACAAACCACTCTGAACATCAAAACCAAAAACCCGAACCTTTTTGGCTCAAAAACTGAAAAATTGATCCAAAAAAACTGTTAAAACCGCAAAACCGAAAATCCCAAAGCCCCCCCTCATCACATAGTTACAAGAGAAAATTTCAAATCTCTCTACTTATATTCAAGGTTTCAGAAAATCTTGAGGTTTTCACCAAATGAAAAAAAACAATTCATGTCATGTATACTTCAGAAGGCAAATTACACCTCAGGCTAGGTCATGAATTCACAAATCACACTCGTCTTTCTGTAAGATTCACGTGCCACATGTTAATTTTGGCCTCAGTTATGTGTCACATCTAAACCCTCTGCTACTCCCCTTATATTCCTGGGTTCATAGGCACCATGATAATAAAAGTCATTGTCAAGATTGTCTCACAAATTTGACAATAACTTTTATAAAAACAACATTATTTCCATACTTTATGTATTTTCTTACATTTGTAGAAGGTGACAAATTGAAAACAATCTCTGAATGAAGTGTCCTGGTCTTCATCTTTCCTTGTTGAAACAGTTGCAGAGCTTTGTGTCCTGCTATTGCAACATGAAATGGGTCTATGATCTAAAAAGCACAATCACAAGCACATCTTCATGGTGTCCGGCCTTTTCGTCCAAGAGTCTTTTCATCCAAAAGTATTTTCACCTAAGTCTGTTCGTTTACTTGTTAAGTCTTTTCTCAAAGCAAATAAATCACTTTTAGAAGGCTAGATAAGGCTCTAAAAAGAACTTGTTGCAAGCCACCGCCACTTTGGTTCTGATACCTTTAGTCACCAATCTTCGTTTATGAATTCAACATCGTGAATTTTACGATAAATACACAGAGAATGAATGAAGTTGTAATGCAATATATTTTATTAAATAGTGGCAAAAGTAAAGACTTGCTTGCCATTTAATTATTTCACGCAAAAGAAATGGGAATATCAGGCTTGTCAAAGTGTCAATAATGTCAAAAAAACATCTAATTCTACATTTCACCAAATGAACTTCAGTGAAAAAATTTTTCGATTTGGATAAAACGCAATTTTCTTGCGAATTTTTACAAAGTTCAAAATTCTATTTTCTTGTGGTGGACCCCTGCCACTGATCGCAAGAGTAACATGCTCAAAATGACCAAGTGACTGATGTCTGTGACATAAGTTCAGGAACCTCACTTGACCTTTTCGGGATCATTAACGTTGTCACAAAGAGCGGCAACGCACCTTTCAGGCATTTTAAACTAAATGGAGACCACTCTGAAGCAAATTCCCACTTGTTTTCAAGTCAGATAAGTCACAACCCAAAATCACGTGTTCCTGAACCTACGTCACCACTCAATTTAAACTGAGGAAGACTGGTGCAAATGGTGGACCAAAATGGCGGCAAATTTGAATGTCTTTAAAAATTATAAAAAATTTCCGTTTTATCCAAATCGAAATTTTTTTTGCAGAAGTTTATTTGGTGAAATGTAGAATTAGACGAGCGAAAAACATTTTTTGACATTATGGGCACTTTAAGCGTCTACTGAGTGTAAAAGGGCAACGAAGTGTAACATCACTACGTAAATGGCTCGCAACAAGTTCTTTCTATAGTCTTATCTAGCCTTCTAAAGGTTATTTATTTGCTTCGAGAAAAGACTTAACAAGTAAACGAACAGGCTTTGGTGAAAATACTTTTGGACGAAGAGACAGACGAAAAGACTTTAGGACGAAAAGACCGTAATTTATCTTCAAAATGACTCGCTCCTTAACGTTAGAGAAATAGAAATACAAGGCTTATGAATCAACAGAGCAAACTTCTGGCTGGTCTGCCTGCAACATAAGGAGGTTGCAAGGTAAAATGCAGTTACTTTCCACACCTCTGAAGCGCGGAATCCGCATCTCATTTGATAGCTCCCACTCGTTTTAGATCGTCCCTCAAAGCATGTCAACTTCGTTTAAGGCTTGCCTTCAAAATTTATATACACTTACTTTATATACTCTCTCCCTTTTTCCTACAGTTCTCAAAAATGTAAGAAAAATTCTCCTGAAGTCTCAGCTAAGCTTGAGAGTGGTAACTGTAGTGTAGTGCAGGTAAGCTAACCTAAGCTCCATACGTCGTTAGCAAATAAACAAGTGAAATAACAGTACCATGGAAGCATTCAGAAAAGCAGCTTCTATTTTTCCTTGAATTATCAGTTTCCTAAGCTCGATACCGTTTGTCACATTCGTAAATAGAGCCAGATTCATGGTATAACTCGGATTATTTTCCACGCTGTATTGAATGATCAGTTCTTCCGCCATCTTGAAAGCCGACGTCACTCTGAGGATCGGCGGTTACTCAGTCTGGTCCCAGTCTTCCTCGGTTACTAAACAGAAGGCGCAGTACCCCTCCCAACTGGGAGCAGGCCGTTAAGTTGATTCGTAATAAACCCGTGAAAGTGATAAATCAGATACAATGAATATATGAGTCGGCTTGTTAGCTCAATTGGTAGAGCGCTGCACTAGTATCGCAGAGGTCAGTGGTTCGAATCGCGTACAGGCCTGAGTTTTTTTCAGGTCTGATTTTCGCCATTGCATAAATAGCGCTATCTACTGCGAGGATCGTGCATCATACGTATCTAATNAAGACGCTAATAAGTTCTAAAATGTGACAAAGTTTCCCAAACTAAAAACAAGTACTAGATACCTAGTATAAAACTCGCGCTAACCTTTTCTTCGGCATTTTCCTGGGTCATAATAACAACTAACACACTTGATGTATTGTCCAGTATTCCAAATTTCTTGAAAGATTCATTGATCTAAAAATAATGTTTTTAACATTAACTTGATGCATAACACACTCCTCTCTATAACAAGTACATAAAGATAATAAATACATTTGACTAATTCTTTACCATCTTTGATATTCTAGCACTGTTTCCAAGCACGTCAGGATTCTCAAACAGTTCATTTGTACCCACACGTTGAAGAAGAAAAGAGGGGTCCTGATTCTGTTTCACGCTTAAAATGTTTTGAAAAATTCATGCATCACATAGTTACAAGAGAAAATTTCAAATCTCTCTTCTAATATTTAAGGTTTCAGAAAATCTTGAGGTTTTCACCAAATGAAAGAAAACAATTCATGCGTCATGTATGCTTCAGACAGCAAATTACACCCCATGCTAGTTCATGAATTCACAAATCACACTTGCCTTTCTGTAAGATTCACACACCACATGTTTATTTTGGCCTCAATTATGTCACAGCCAAACCCTTTGCTACTTCCCTTATATTCCTGGGTTCATAGGCACCATGATAATAAAAGTCATTGTCAAGATTGTCTCACAAATTTGACAATAACTTTTATAAAAACAACATTATTTCCATACTTTATGTATTTTCTTACATTTGTAGAAGGTGACAAATTGAAAACAATCTCTGAATGAAGTGTCCTGGTCTTCATCTTTCCTTGTTGAAACAGTTGCAGAGCTTTGTGTCCCGCTATTGCGACATGAAATGGGTCTATGATCTAAAAAGCATAATCACAGACACATAATCACAATGACTCACTCCTTAACGTTAGAAGAAATAGAAATACAAGGCTTGTGACTCTACAGAGCAAACTTCTAGCTGGTCTGCCTACAACATATGGAAGTTGCAAGGTATAATGCAGCTACTTTCCAAACCTCTGAAGCGCGAAATCCCCAGCTGGTTATTTGCATCTCATTTGATATCAATATCGAATAACTCCTACTTGTTTTATATCGTCCCTCAAAACATGTCGACTTCATTTGAGGCTTTCCTTCAAAATATTTATACACTTAACACACTCTCCTTTTTCCCATAATTCTCTAAGAGTGGTAACTGTGGTGTGGTGCAGGTAAGCTAACTTAAGCTCCATACCTCGTTAGCAAATAAACAAGTGAAATAACAGTACCATGGAAGCATTTAAAAGAGCAGCTTCTATTTTTCCTTGGATGATCAGTTTCCTAAGATCGATACTGTTTTTCACATTCGTAAATAGAGCCAGATTCGTGGTATAACTCGGGTTATTTTCCACGCTGTATTGAATGATCAGTTCTTCCGCCATCTTGAAACCAGTCGAGCCTGCAGATCGGCGGTTACTCAGTTTGATCCCAGTCTTTCTCGGTTACTACACATTAGAAGTTGTTTCTTACACGTGCTCTCTCCCAGCGAATATTCGCACCACCGCCGCTGTTTGTTGATGTTTATGAGGCGCCAAAGTGGACAAAAATGTCGTTTAGCAGTTTTTTTTCCAACTACATAAATATGTTCTAAACTCAAGATTTTTGTCCTCAGTTTACATCAGTTAGATGCTAACTTAGTGAAATATTTATGCTCTTTTTCGCATTTATTTTCTAAACTCTTCAGTTGCATTCTAATTGCAAAGAAAATGCGTTACAAGTACAGAAAACAATTATTCTAATTGAAATGTGTTTTAGATGTTCTAATGTTCTTATTACATTCTATTTTAAAAAAATAAAGTATTCTAATAATGTTTTTTTCATGCCAAGTTTGAAAAAAACTCTGCTCATAAGAACGAAAAATTATCCTATTCTCATTCAGAAAATACATGGCAATTGCAAAAAATACGTTCCAATTAGTATGCGAATTATTCTCAGTTGAATGTTTTCGTGCTAATTAAGACACGTTTCTGATTAACATGCAAATTTATGCTACACAAAGCGGTGTTGGGCAAGGGTATCGCGGACGCCGATGTAATTGACATTTCCCCCTTTTTGCGCTAATTTTAAAGCTTTGAATTGAAGACTATCTACAAAAGCTACGATATGCCTTTATACCGTCGAGGAAGAGGCGGTATAGAGATAGCTAGAGAGATTCTTAGAAAATACTGAAGCAGTTCTCGGTCAAATTGCTAGCTTCAGTCAACAATGGGAGACCCAGAATACAAACCTGGACGACTTAGAAAACGCTGTTGATCGAGTGACCGAGATCTGTACAACGTTTAGCGATCTTCATCAGAGTGTACCCACTAACAGCGCTGCAAATATTAGTCAACAACCGGTCTGNTTTGGACCTGCACTTAGAAAACGCTGTTGATCGAATGACCGAGATCTGTACAACGTTTGGCGATCTTCATCAGAGTGTACCCACTAACAGCGCTGCAAATAATTCAGTTGTTGGCCTGACGAGTATTTTAGACGAGATACGAACACATCTTTGTACGTGACTCAAAGGTTTAGATACAGAGAGTGCCTGTTCTTTTGAATACCAATGCCCAGTGAGTAGCGAAAAATGTCGTCCTCGTTTTGAAATTATGAAGGATCAACTGGAATTCTTGCGAAGTAAACACCTTCGCTGGGCTAGCATTGCTAAATTACTGGGAATTTCTGAGAGAGCTCTTAGAAGATGAAGAGAGGAATTTGGACTCGAAGCGGACGGTTTTACTGAGATTTCAGAGAGCAGCCTTACAGGTGTCGTTCAATCAGTGAAATCCCTCACTCCCAATATTGGCCAGAGTCGCATGCTAGGTGCATTGAGGAGCAGAGGTCTGCACGTGCAGCG